CATTTCTGGAAGTTGTAAAAAATATGCTCGTCATTTTAAAATGTTACTCGTATTTCAGACCAGTCTTTTTTAGTAAATATTTGAGCACATCTGTTTGATACTAGGGAGCTCTGGTGGCTTAGTGGCAAGGAGTTGTGCTGTGAGCCCAGAAGCTCTAAGTTTGAATTCTCCAGCTTCTCTGGGGGTCTAAGCTGGGCAGTCTCCTGCAAGGCTGTTATTTACTACCTCTGAGCACTCACTGAAGAGTCATCCTTAAGGACATAGTGAACAGTAACGTTTACATTGTGATTGGGGTTACAGTGATGAATAGGTATAGTCACGGATGGACTAAATCCTTAGGAAATTTGACATGTTGTATTGAAAGTTTGAACTCTTATTCATGCCCATTATTTTGGTTCCTGTGATTCTGACTTGGAGCAACTCCATCACATTTTCTAGGCCATATAAATTATGATGGGAGGAGAGAGCCCATCTTTTTCTGAGGAGCCCTTAGTAGGCTTGAACTACAGGAGATTGCAGCCTTTGGATTAGCAGCGCAGCTTGCTTTGGACTGTGTCACCAGTGGAGTTTCCTTAAACTGATAGTTGTTGTGGACCATCAAGTCAGGATTGATCCATAGCTGACTGTCCAGCAGGTTTTCAGAGGCAGTAAACCGCATAGGGATTGATTGTCCATCTTTCTCACGCAGAGCGGGTGGCAGGTTCAAGTGCATGACTTTGGGTTGACAGCACAGTTCCTTACCACTAGGCTTCCAGAGCAGAGATTAATCAAGTAATCACACAAGTCATAGTATAAAATTATAGCGTTGTTAGTACAGTGAAGAAAGAGCATTTTAGTGAGAATATATGATGGGACCTGATAACTCATTTGATCAGGGAACACTTTCTTGAGAAAATGACACTTGAGATGTCATTCATAAGCAATCAGAGCCATTCGTTTTAAGTGTATCGATGAGTTTTGACAAATTGTGCACCAAAAACATTCACGTTATAGAACATTTCTGTTAGCCCCAAAACTTCCTAATGCAGTATTATCTTCCTGTTTTTGAATTGCTTTGTTTCTTTTTTTTAAGTAGTGATTTGTGTGAGTTTGATACAAGTTTTTTCTTGACTGTATGTATTTGCGAATACATTCTGCCAGTTGGAGAACTGCCCTTTTATTCTCACAATGGTATTTTTTTTATGAATAAGTTTTCATGATTTAAATGAGGTCCAGTTTCTCAGTCTTTGCTTTTATGGACAGTTTTTTCTGTTTCTTGTTTTGGCGGTATTTTCAAGTCACAAGATCATGTAATCACGTGCTTCCCCCTTTCCTGTATGCTTGTTCCTTAACACTGTGAATGATCTCTTTTAGGATTAGTTAGTTTTAATACCTCCAGTACTTTTCTGACTTCCTCCCTGTCGTTTTGATTTCCATTTACTATCTCTGTGTCTTTAGTCATAATGGGCTGATCATCCTCTTGTTGGCCTTTTCTTTCTCCAATCACTGATTGTTATGATAGTACTCTTACAGCAAAAATTCATATATGTGTGTTTGTGTATCTATATATTGGGGAGATATATGTGTGCCTCTGAAAAGCTGTTTAAGAGTCTGCTATGGGTTGATTCCAACTTGACAAAACACAACAACAACATAGATAGGTAGGCAGATAGATAGGAGATCCGGTGGCCTAGTGGTAAGGAGTTGTGTTGGCAACTCAAAGTGAAGCATTCAAATCCATCAGCTGCTCCTCTGGAGGAAGATGGACAATCTTCTCCATGCAGTTATTTGCCTCTGACAGCCTGCTGGAGGGTCAGTTCTGACTGGACAGTATACAATAACAACATTCAAATACCTCAGAGTAGAGTTGTTAGGTCAGTGGTAAATTTATGTTTAATTCTTTGAGGAACTGTCAGACTTTTCATAGCACCTATACTACTATTAGCAGGTATGAGGGATGCCATTTCAGATCCTTGCCAAAAATTGCTTTTCATTATCATAGTCATTTTAGTGATTGCCAGTTATTTATTCCTGCTTTTCAGAATGTCTTAGAATTTGTGATGGATGTGTATAAGCATTTTTAGAGGCTCTAGTGGGTGTCATTTTTCTAAGAGGGTTAAGTTTTTCTTTCGGTTGATAAAATCCCACTAAGAGATCACCTTAAAATAAAACCTTATTACCAGCAACCCACTCAGACCCTCTGCTCTTGAATTGATTGGCTCATAGTGATGTTTCCATTAGGTTTCCAAGCAAATCTTTACAGCAGGAAACAGCTCATCTTTCTAATGTGGAGATTCTGGTAGATATAAAGTGCCATCCTTTTGGTTGGGAGCTGGACACATTGCTCGCTGCACTTCCAGGTCTCCTTATAAACCTTGTCAGGGTTGATCTGGTTCTATTTTGCCCTTAATCCTAAGGAGAGTCTCTTCTGAATTCACAGCAGAAAACTTGGGTTATTTATGAAAGTATTTGACTTGGTGCTTGCATTACAGTCTTTGTCTCCTTTGCATAAGACATCACTAAAATCTCCGTTTATTTTTTTAGCCCTAATGACTTTTTTTTACTGGTTTCTTTGAATTTCTTCCTCTTTGTGATTCACCTCTTCATTACCCAAAACCTGTCTTGTTTCTGCTCAGGCCAGTAGGACTGATGCTGCATTCTCTTGGTTCCCGGTCAGCTTTTACAGCAGAATCAGGAAAAAGCCAAGGTGGTTTCCATAACCCCATGGCTTTAGTTGTTCTTCAGTGTTTTTACATCTCTGGAGAGTTAGCTTGATACAGGTTACTCCAATATGGTAGAAACTATGAGTAATGATGTTTTACAAATTGAGTCACCAAGAAAATGTAAGACTGATACCTTATGAAGAATAAGAATTTTCAACATAAGAGAGGGTATTTATTAGAATATAGGAGGAAGAATTTTAATTTTCAAACAAATACAGAGGGTAGGTTTGAGTGATTGTTGGCCTTAGCGAAGTTGACGTTTCTTTTGATTTTAAGTTGAGTAAGAAAAAGGAACTCTGGTGGCCTAGTGGCAAGAAGCTGCACTGCAATCCTGAAGGCACGTGGTTTGAATCCACCACCTACTCTGGGAGATAGATGGGTAGTCTCCTCCCGTGTGATTAACTGCCTTTGGAAACCCCCCAGAGAGGCAGCTCTGGGTCATTTCCGACACTATGGTACACAACAACACCAAACATGTTAGGTAACATATTTTATATGAGATTTGCAATGTTAGTACCGATTTTGATAAAGCATTTAATGAAAAAGGATGATTATTTAAATTTAACTAGTGAAGAAGTTGAAGGTTCTTAATTTTAAATGGGTGCCTTTTTTTATAATACCCAAAACCACACCAAACCTAAAACCATTGCTGTTGAGATTCACAGTGAACCCATTATATTCATAATGACCTAGAGGACAGAAGCACTGTCCCATGAAGTGCGAAGGCTGTAAATCATTATAGAAACACACTGTCACATCTTTCTCTCTTGGGTCAGTTGGTAGGTTCAAACTGCCGACCTTTTGTTTAAAGACTGAGCGCTTGAACTGCTGTGCTACTGGGCCTCCCACTGTTTGAGTTTGTTGTTGTCGTCATTTGTCATTTAGGAAGAACCTATTCATAGCTGAACCTCCAGCAGGTTTTCAGAAGCTGTAAATCATGAGAGGAGATTGTGCATCTTTTTTACCCAGAGCAGCTGGTTGATTTGAACTCCCTGTCTTTGAGTTGGCAGTGTATCTCCTTACCCACTAGGTCTCATATAGTTGTACTAGGTGATGTCTTTAGATGTCCTTGTAACCAAGCCGTTTCCATTCTTGTCTGCTCACACCATGTTGGCTCTGCTCGTTGCTGCATTGCACACATCAAGAGGAAATGCTGCTCAGTCCTGTGCCATCATCATGGTCACTGCTGGAGACCATTGCTGCAGCTGCTGTCTCAGCCCTCTTTTCTGTTAGTGCTTATTAAATGGTTGGAGGTTTGAGTATTTACATATGATGATGAAAAATATATATGCTAAGTATGCCAGCGGGAGTTTTGTTCACACATCTGCAGAGGTACAGATAGAGTAACTAAGTGGCCATCCAAAAATAGGGAAAGAAGAACATGGGTGAAGTTATAAGGGTGCATGTTATACTCAGCGCAGAGAAGTAGAGAAAGAAGGCAGAAATGGATTTGTTTTAAAAAAAATGCCTGCCTGTCCTCTTAAAGGCTTAAAAATTGGGATTTGGAAAGAACCTTCCTGAGAAGAGGGGCATGTGCAGTGGACCACCTTGGGGCTCTGTTTTTCCTTTTGCCCTTTTTTTGAACTCTCAAGGTTAGTCAGTTATTTTCTTCACAATTTCATTAGGAAATTTGCCAAAGGCATCCTTTTGAGGCAGCTGTCTCTGCACCCTTGGAGGCCATCAGTAATGTTTCCAATCCATAGGACTATTCGGCACAAAAATGTCGGACTGTGCTTGAGCTGGGTCTTTGTGTTTTGAAGCACTTCCTTACTACTCCCCCCTCCCCCCCCCACCCAAAGCAGTTTAACATACATGTTCTTGAGGCTTCTGATCCTTTTTATTATTTTTTTTTTCATTCTACCTGTTCAGGTAAAAGACATCATTAGTAAAAGTTCTGTTGTGCACAGGCTTGCTATGAATTGGAGCTGATTCCACAGCACCCAGCAACAGCAGCATATATATTAATACTAAAAAAGATTTCATTTTTAAAGATAACTCATAATAATAGATTTGTTAGGACTTCTTTTTGTACAGAATATTAAAAATTTTACTGCTACTATTGTGACTATAAAGTATAGTTTAATTGTGGTTTTCACTTGGTCTAAAGTGCTTCATGTTAGTCATCCTGTGAAGTTTGGGAGGCTATTAAATATGACTAAATCGCATTAGAGTAAATAGAAATGTGTTTGTATTTTCATTCCTATCCAGTTTCATAATATAGGCAACTGTTACACCATATGCATCTTTAATATATTAGTCTAACGGTTTGTCTTGTTTTCCTAAACTGTCTCCTCTCAGCCACCCACACAGAATATGCCTATGGGTCTTGGAGGGATGAATCAAAGCGGTCCTCCCCCACCTCCGCGCTCTCACAACATGTCTTCAGATGGAATTGTAGGTGGGGGTCCTCCTGCACCACACATGCAGAACCAGATGAACGGCCAGATGCCTGGTAAGTTTCTCTCCTCTAAGACATTAACACCAGGGTTGCTTAGCAACTGAAACGACATGGGGGCTCAGGGGATAGGAGATTGTTGATGACAAAACTGCTTTGAATGCCCCCGAGTACAAGCTCTCTTAGAGTTTGTTAGCTACAGAGCTACGTGACCTGTATTCAGTGTTTATCAGGCTGCCCTTGGGCTTTGATGTAGCTGACACACAGCATTCCTCTGATGAACAAAACTGGCTAAATTTAGTCTGTCTGAAACTATGCAATACAGCTGGCTTTAGAAGGTTTTTGGAAAAAAGGCATAACATCATGGTTTAGAATTTAAAATGTTTATAAAATGGTATTACAACATTTCTCTTAGGTTTGTATTTACTTAAATGTTTTCTTGATCTCAGAAACTATGATTGGAAAAAATACACAAGAAAAAGAGATAAAACATTCTCTAAAGTGCTAGTGTATTTAGTATTTCTTCTTTGGTAATATTGAAGCTCATCAGAGATTTTTATGAATACATATGTTTATAGCATAACAAATGTGGAAATTGATCTTGAAACAGGATTAAAAGCTGAGAAATCCTATATACTTTCTTATGTAATGAGCCACTCCTTTATCTTTTTTAAGTTTGGAACTTCTTAGACCATTTAATGTTTATTTACTTCTCTTTTGATGGTTTGAATTTTTAGTCTGAAAAATGTCTTTAAAATCTTTTGTCTCTGTAATAACAACAGCAGCAGTCTGTGCCTGTAATTTTTAATACAGAGTTTACTCTGGATTAAAAAGAATATTTTTTACTTTCTTAAGACAAGACTTGGCTTTGTTAACAAAAAAAATACAGACTGTAGTTAGCATTAACTATATTCTGAACCACAGAATAATTTATTTTAAAATGAGTAATTAATATTTTTAATGATAATATGTTCTCTAGCTGATTCTGTTGCGTTCAGATATGATGATGGATATAGAAAGAGAAGAGCACACAATCCCTGAGTGGAGGCATGGTAGCCGACTTTAAAGAAGATGGAAGTAGTGTTTCAATGGTTGTTTCCTATCTTGCTAAAACTTGCTACGTCTGTGACCCACACCCAGTTGGTGAGGTAGGAATAAAGACATAACTGCTTTTCAGGTTGTAGTCAGAGAATTCTTGTTGAATCCACATTTTGCTCTTCAGAACATTATTTTTAAAACTGGAAGGGAATGTACTGCTGGTGTGGGTCAGCAAACTAGGCTATTATGACTTTTTATGAAGAACCTTTAATTGTAACGTCGCCTTGTAACACTTGAACTTAAAAGCCAGGAAGAATTTGAGCAACAATGAAGTTACTGGTTATGTTTTGGTTTTTATGTAAAGCCACCTGAAGTAGTTCTTTATAAGGTGAACATTTTCAATCAGTAATGACTTATGGTTTCCGTAAACTATAATTGGAGAGTTGTAGGGGAAATTGTGAGCTTAGTAACTAATATTTTTTCTTTATTAAGTTCCAAATAGCATTTAGCCAACATTTTTATGAACACAAATTTGCATCTAGATTCTTACTTTGTAATTTTAGTTGGTTTTTTTTTAATATTTCGTTTTCAAATCTTAAGTGGCAGAGCTACTAAATGCTGTTTGAACTTGGACAGATGTTCTTTCAGTTTTAAGTTCTGCCTTTTAAAAACAGTTAATTGATTTTGTAAAAAACTACATAAAGCATACATATAATACTAAAATCAAAAGATATCGAAGAATATGAAGTGGCATCTATTTCTCCAGATAGTTTGGAGAGGCATCAGCTTCTAGTTATTCTTCCAGAGAAATTGTCTGTGTGTAAAATGTGCCTGTGTCCGTTACTTTTCGTTTTCCTTCCTTTCCTCCTCTGCTTTTCACTTTTTTCTTCTTCTTCAATTCAAATTGTAATGTACGTGAAGTACTACTGTGTCTCTTTTCCTCTTCTTAAAGATAGATCTTAGAGACATCATTCTACTTAGAATTTACAGAGCTTCTCTCTTTTTCCTTTCTTGTATGTAGTAACTAGATCATTCTATTTTATGGATACATTCTAGTGAAACAATTTCCTTATATTGGAAAAACAGATTGTGTCTAGTCTTTTGATAGAAAAATTATGTTGCTGTGAGATTTGTGTGTGCAGGCATGCATACGTACACATAGTTACATGTGCAGACAGTTAAAACCTTTTATATCTGTAGGATAAATTTCTAGAATTAAGATTGCCACATCAGAAGCATATCTTTAAAAATAAATTTGATAGCTGTTTGTATTTCCATTCTCTCTATGATGTTATCAAAGTGCTTTTTTCTTCATAATATTGCACAAAACTTCTGATCTTTGCAAGTCTGAGAAATGAAAAGATAGTTTCATAGTTTTAATGTGCCTTTTACAAGTAATGTTTTCAGTCTTTTCATGTAAAGTGTCTTCTCAAGTATTCCCCTAATTAATCTCATTCTTTTTCCACATACACAGATTTTTAATTTTTCTGTTGTCTTGTTTATGTTTTATTGCTCTGGATTTTCTGGTGTATTTCAGGCCTTTCTAATGTAAAGTTAATAAATATTACTCTCTAAGCTAGGGATCTAACCTTATTTTTCCAAATAGCTACACAGTTATTGAATTCTCTTCCATTTAACCACTGATATCACCGTATCAGATTATGTATTTAAACCTACTTTCAGACTATTCTGGCTCAGTGATTTGGTGAGCAGTTTATTTATGTGCCAGAATTCAACTCTTGGGGAGCTCTGGTGGCAGAGTCCTTCAGGAGCTGCATTGCTAATCCAAAGGTAGTGAGTGCCCCTTTTAAAGTTTTAATCTGCCAGCAGCTCAAAGGAGAAAGGACACTCTTCCTCCTGTGTGATTTACAGCCTCTACAAATTCACGGGAGGGTCCTCTGACTGTAGGACCATGAGTTTTGAGTGAAACTCAGCTTGATTTGTTAAGTTGGTTCCAACTCATAGTGACCCTCTGGCTGGTTTCTGAGACTGTAAATGGGAGGAAATTCATCTTTCTCCCTCAGAGCCACTGGTGTATTTGAACTGCAGAAATGTGGGACTTTTGGAATTATCAGTGTGACTTACTAGTCTATGCCCCCAGAGCTCCCAGTCTCACCCATTCACTTTCACTGCCCGGGAGTCAAACAGACTTGCAACTGACCGTCAAGTGAGTTTTTGGAGGCTGTAGACTGCACCAGAGGAGATTGCCCATCTCTCTTCTGTGAGACTACTAGTGGGTTCAAATGCCAGACACGTGCCATGTTTGGTTTGGCAACCCAAACCCCTGTCGGCTATGCCGCCAGAGCCCCGTACTAGAACTGCACTTCATTTTTTTCCAGCTTTGTGATAGATTTTTTGTCTCTTGTAAGGCTGGTCCTTCCTTACTACTCTTTTTCACAATATTCCTGGCTTTTTGGCATCTATTCCTTAGTTTGTAAATTGGGAATAATAAGTAACATTTCCCTTATAGGTTTACTGTAATTCATGTAAAGCATTTACTTTGCTTTTGAGTACTGAGTTATTCTCAGGTATCATTATTAAAACAATAATGTAAAAAAAAAATTAGGTTCCTTAGATACTTTTCTGTAGCCCATCCATTTAACTTTTCTGTTTTGCTTCTGGTCATTTTTCTTCAAAGGGCCTAACCATATGCCTATGCAGGGACCTGGACCCAATCAACTCAATATGACGAATAGTTCCATGAACATGCCTTCCAGTAGCCACGGATCCATGGGTGGTTATAACCATTCCGTGTCATCGTCACAGAGCATGCCAGTGCAGAACCAGATGACGATGAGTCAAGGACAGCCAATGGGAAACTACGGCCCCAGACCAAACATGAACATGCAGCCAAACCAAGGTAAACAAGCCAGACTGTGTCCTTAACTGGAAAGTCTTTGACAGTGAGATGGGTGTGCTAAGTTGTTAGTGGATATGAAAAGACAGGTTTGAAATGAGTGATGTCCATGAAAGAGAAAGTTGAATTGAAATTGTGTGCAACTTCCCCCTCCCCACTGAGAAAAGATGGTGCTTTGTTTGATTTTTGAAACTTATTTTTTAATGTCTGTTGGACCAGTTATCATTTGAAAAGTTTGAAATTCTATATTGTTAAATTATTTATTAAAGTTTATCAATGAATTATGAAATTTTTATTTAATGGGTGTAAAATTGAGAAAATGACTTTAATTTTTTTGATATTTTTGTTTATATACTAGTTTTGTGTGTTGGTTTTTTTGTTTTTTTGTTTGTTTTAATATGGAACATTTCATTAATGTGCATGTCATCCCTGCACAGGGGCCGTGCTAATCTCTGTATCACTAGCACAGTTTATATATTATTTCAGATTTACTCTGTGGTCCATTTTACTTATTATGGTTATGTTTATCTGATTTTTCGCTTGGCTTTTCAAACAGTTTTCTGATGCTCAGTTTCAGTATTTTTGAAAGATAGTTCTAACATAATTAGATATTAGTTTGTAGTGTAGGTACTATACTCTTTGTTTTTTAAAAGTGACATGAATCTATTAAAATATATTTTTGAATCTATTAAAAAATTAACTATTCTTAATGAAATTGTTATCTTGTTTCTCTTTTAAGTATTCATGTGACTAATAACTAAAAACCAGTAAGTGGCGCTCTGTTCTGTGAATTGCTTGTTAAAACATATGGCACATTGCCAGGCTAAAATCTTTCATTTACAAAATGTGGGGAGGTTAAGAGTATAAAATATAATTAAATTTGCTTGCAGTTCAGTTGCTTAGATTTTGCTTATGAAAAACAAATCACTTAAGTATATACCCTGATAAAGAAAGATCATTTTAATCTGTTAATAATGTTTATGATGAGATGCTGTTAAAAAAGCTTGAAGAAGAATTGATGCCTTAAAGTTGTATTGGTGAAGAGTATTGAGTAAACCATGGACTGGCAAGAGAACAGACAAGTATCTCCTCAAGGAAGCAATCAGGGCACTCCTTTAGGGGCAAGAATGGTGAAATTTCATCTCTCAGAAGGAGTTGCCAGTCTTAAGAAGGACATACCAGGAAAAGTAGAGGGTCGGTGAAAAAAAGGAAGACCTTCGAAAAGGTGAATTAAAGCAGTGAGTACAGCTGGGGGCTTGAGCAGGTTGGAGATCATGATGGTTGTGCAGGATAGCACATAGGGTTTGATAGGGCCAAGCTGTTGTTTGTAAGGTCAGTGGAAGTTGTAGTTAGCTCTGTGACACTTAATAAAAATTTTAGAATAGTTCAGATTCCCCCCCTGAAATTTGTTGATCCATGCTGAAAATAAAAATAAGTAATAATTCTATCAAGGAATATGCCATCATTAAAATGACTCTTGCTTTGTAGTTGTTCCCAGTATTATTTAGTGCTTTTTATAGAATGTTTACTTTTTTTTGCTGCAC